CCCCAAAACCCCAAAACCCCAAAACCCCAAAACCCCTTATCTCATTAAAAACTTAAATATTCTTTAAAAATGGAGAATGCCCTCTGCCCTGTCTGATACACCAATAACGTTACTAAACCTTCTCTTAATTGAGGATTCAAGGTCTGTAGCCAGTGCTTAGTCAACTGGATAGAGAGCAAAGCAACAGTGGAGTTCATACCTAAATTCAGTGACAAATTTGAGAAGGAAAAATGTCAATCTGAGCATATTCTTTGTATTAATGTAGAATGAGAAAAATAATTTAGACAGAAACCTTATATTACAGGAAGAAAAGGAAGAACATACCCTTGGGTATAAGGAATGATTTGAGTTTCTTCAAGAAGCAGAAGATCAAGAGGCTCTAGAAAAATTTAGTCTCTTAATGTTGAACTTGATATCTATTAATGGCAAGGATTATCGCAAATGTCCCAAATCAGGATGAAATTATATTGGAACTATAGATCTCAAGCCGAGCAGACAAATGTTATCCTGAGAGAAGTGTGGCTTTGAATGGTCTGACCCTGCTCTTTATCCATTTTGTAAGAGATTCTTATTGAAATTTCAAAACTTCTTTTCATACAACTCAGATACCATTAATAACTTTCAGAAGATTATGAAGGGAGAACCTTGCCCTAATTGTGGAATATGTATCATCAAGCTTGATGGGTGTAGCCATATGGTGTGAGGAAAGTGTAATTATGAGTTCTGTTGGGACTGTCTTGGCCACTACCCAAGCTATAACCACACAGAGATTACCTTCTGCCCAATAAGGAAGGTAATCCTGTTAGTTTTCTTATTGTTTTTGATATTATCCATAAATACCAAAATCTGCCTTCTTTCAGAATTAGTCGCTAATTTTGAATTCTTAATTTTAGATTGGGCAGTTTTCTTGATTGTTTCTAATGCTTATGCTGCCCTAGTTCTTGTATTCTTTGAGCTCTACAGTGAAGCTACTAGCAACTATCGGCTAATGAATGAGTTTCCAGAGTACTCATTAGTGTATAGAAGGAACTTTATATGGTATGGTATGCTGTCTGCTGCATATCCCATAGGTTACATCTCGATGAGTGTTTTCTTGTATTTCATCTCAGATTATTATAATTCTATGCTTAAATGATTGGCTGTAGAAGGAATGATAGCAGTAATAGGAGTCTTGTCCTTCATTATTGTATATTGCATCTTCTCTATTTTTAAAGGTGTTTTTGGTCAAAGGCAACAAGCATATGAAATGGATCAAGAGCTGGGAGATGATCCAGAAATGTGGAGTAATGGGAGAAATTATGAAGATGACCAAAGACTTGATGAACCATTTATACCTAAGTACGAAGATTATGAAGGTAAATTTATTAAAATAATCTTTAGAAGAGGAGGAAAAGAGGCCATTTGGGAAATCCGAATATAAAAACATACAAAGTAAAGAAGACGATATGCTCGAGCTAGTCAATGTACAGAAAGAAATTAATCGGTTTAATCAGGTAAAAAGATCATGGAATAATCCATTTGAAAAAGACCCGAATGTAAGAACCTTTGGAGGAGTTTCCGAGACAATATAAATTAACTCTCCTCTTTAAAATATTCAGTATTCTTTCAACCATTAATCATGAATCAGGGGTTTTGGGGTTTTGGGGTTTTGGGGTTTTGGGGTTTTGGGG